AAACGGTTGCCTCGGAAATGTTGCCTCGAATATGATCTTAAGACACTAGGGTTATTACTAAGACGTCCTAACATTGCTTTAGTGATCGTACGTCCCTTTCGAATTGACCCTTACAAAATCCAACGACGGTGCTACTCACTCATTAATAGTAGGATAGTGCTGTCTAAAGGAAACAAGAACATAAACATTCTTTTTTCGAGTAGGTAGATGCTAGTAGGTACTTGCTCAAAATCAAACTTTTCCACACTTACACTTTTTCAAACAAAGTTTTCAAAACGACTTTGTAACACTCTTGAGGACTGATACAAGGGTTAAAACGAAGTAAAACAAAAACTTTTCAAAACACACAAACACGGAAGCAATTTTTAAAATGATGAGCAAGTACCTAAGAGCCCGTAGAAAACTACGAATAGAAAGGGTGCTCATACCTTCCCTTTCTATAATCTACCCCCCGTACTCAAAATCTCGAAAAAAGGAATTTTTTTGTGCTTTTTTCCTTTCCAGTTGGATAAAATAAAAGTCGGTGGCGACTCTTGCTTACCGCGACATTTTGCAAACACAAGCGCAAAATGCAAACTAGCACTTTTCCTAAAACAGTCTGGTTCTGCCACCGTATCATACTCATTATATGAATTTTTCAAATGCATGATTCGAATAAAAAAATAAATTGATTCAAATCATGAAATGAAAGGTCTCGCATTGAGTCAGTTTTCTACAGTAACAATTTATTTCTCATTTTTCTCTTCATCTCATTTTACTCCTGCACGCATCCACACTCTCATTTATCTCAAAACCCATTTCTTTTCAAAATCACCATAACACTTCATTCCTCATATACATTCATCCATTTCACCTCACTTCATCATCATCAACCATTCCAAAACTCGTTTTATAAACTTTCAATATCATAAACTCAACAATGTCTTCTCAAGATCAATCAAACAAGTTATCTGAGAAACAAAGGGGGAAGAGACAAGTCTCGACTTCAAATTATTCTACTTCTCAAGTTACAAAAAGGCCTAGAACAAAGGTTCGAGCAAGCAAAGAATCATCTGGTGTTAGGGTTTAGAAAAAGTCAAAACTCGGTACTTCTCGTCCAAGACCAACCTTGGTGTATTTTCAATGATTGTTATCTTAAGCTGCTTCTATACTGAAAGAAATACATCTTCCTTGTGTCTCTTAGGAGACGACAAGGGAATCTAGACCAACATTTTTTATTCATCTTCAATATTGACAACAATAATAGGCTTTTTGGGACGTACACTAGAGGGAATGATAGATGAAGGGCTGGCGGCTGACAGAAATGACCCAACTTTTTGTTCTAGAATTTCCTTCAATATATTCCCATAAGCCATGTAACCTATATGAATAACAAAAAATGTTTGTAGATAATATGCAACAGGAAGATAAAACAACATTGTGTATGCCCTACATAGGATGCAACTCTTCTTTTGCAACAGAAAGTGAGGCTAGCGTGTCTATATGGTGGGACATGTTTCTCATTTTCAAGAAGGTCAGGTGGTCTTAAATTTTCATGAAGGATTTTGCATCATAAACTTTTAGACCCTCATATTTGAGAGAGACACACACACACATAATAAACATGCTTTATAATAGTTGCAAAACCAATAACAATTAAAGTGTAATTTATACAAGGTATTTGTGACACTTATCATCTTGTGGGAAGTGACGGTAAAAGGCGCGAAAAACACAAACCGCCACCAAAAACAAATTAGAAAAAGCGGCAAAGTCTTAAAAATACCAAACCATGATGGTGACTAGAGAATGGCCATTGTAAATAAAATATGGTATAAAAGACAAATGTTTGAGGTTTCGCTTTAAGGAGTGCACGCAGATTATAAAATCCCCTTAAGTAATCAAAAGTGAGAGGATGAATTTGTGAATGATTCAACAACAAATTCAGCCAAAAATGATGCTCAAACATAGTGAAAGACAGTTTTAAGGGGGGATCAGACCGTGGTATCGTTTGATAGACTATTTATTTCCCCAAAATTAACAAGGATAACTATCTACTTACCAAATTTCCCATGATTATGAGAACTATTAAAGGGGGGGGGGGAGGGAATGGACGATATCTTGAGGGAGCCTCACCCTAATAAATATGGATTCTTTAAAAAAAGAAGAAAAACTTTTTAACACAACACCCAATATACATTATCATAAATGTTCAATACGATATTCAATCATACAACATAAGGAAAACACATACAAACACACGCACGCACACACACAGACACACACACACACATTATGTTGTATGATTGAATATCGTATTAAGATAGAAGTTTTAAGGGAAATATGACTACATCGTGAGGATTTAAAGTTAATAAAGGTGAGTAACCAAACATTAAGAGGAGAACTTCGAAAAGCTACGTAGAAAATGAGAAAATGTGAGAGCCAAAATTTGAGAATAAATAAGAGTGCAAAAAGAGAATAAGAAACAAAAACTCTTTATTTGTAAAAGGCCTTCTGAACCAAGAAACCTAAGATCAAAGAATATCTCACATGTTAGAAATGACGAAGACAATTACCCACGAGCCACATGGCTTCACCAAGGTAGTATTTTCTATAATGAAAAATCAACACACAACACTATTCTCCATGATGTAGTTATCACATATCGATTTAGGGGAAAACATTAAATGCACTCACATGGCGACACAAAAGGATACCAAGAGTTAAAAACATATTGATAATGATACCCCATATTATAGAAGAAGGCATAAAGGCACTAGATGACAATCTTACTAAAGTTAAAACACCAATTAACGAGCCTACACAATCCTTTACAACATCTGATTGAATCAAGTGAACAAGGCTCCCTGATACTCGAAGGAAAGAATCTAGGAAGTTCACACCCCCAATGATTCAGATCTCAAGGGACTCAAAATAGAATATAAGCTTCTTCGGCCCTAACTCGGAAGGATACTATTTCAGTCTAGGCCAAGATCCAATGTACTTTGATCCAACATGATACGAGATCCCACAAGAACTAGGGACAAATACCGTCGAATCCATCTAACGCACCCCACAAGGATCTTTTAGAAGCATTTTTCCTCTAAATGCCTCTAAAGTATATGGATTTTGGTATGATCGAAACCCAATGGTACACAAAAACCATGCCATTTAAAACCATGTAGACTGTTAGATGGGAAGTTACAAATTATTGACGTCACCCCACTGACGTCAAACCAGTGATGTTATTCTTTTAAATGGATTATCCATAAAGAATGGTCAAATATCACATAACTTAAGATGAACATGCCATAGAATAATACCTGATCAGAACTATTAAGGGACGAAGAATGATAAAGTCATATTTGTAAAAATTCTAAGACATTTGTCAACTGATAGAGTTGTAAGAACCGGAAAATTCTAGGTCTCGAAAAACTCTAGAGCCTTACTATAAAAAGGCTAAGGAAGGCCTTGTATTCATATGAATACTTTTCTTACTTTAAATATCTTTCACTTTAAACCGTCATTAACTTGAATATCATAATGTTTTCATGTACCGCTCTCGCGGGACTTGATCATAAAAACTCTAAATCAATTACTAAAATTTATCTTTGTATAATTTGTATTGTGTCTTGAACTACATTGGCCGATCCATACATGATATTTTTATTTTTTTTGAATAATAACATGTTTGGTTTGACTAGTGAAAGAGTAAAAAAAAAAACAATTCTAGAGGTGTATAATTGATTTTGGAGTGATTTTGAGTTGGTGTTTGGTTCTTCTAAAATAAAATCGATTCAACTTTAATAAATGATTCTACTTAAAACTAAAATTTGTAGCTTTTAAATTTAAACATTATTTTTACACTCTTATTACTCAATTTACTTTCATATAAATGTATCTACGCATAAATCACTTTTACTAAGATGACCTGCTTACTTCTGCCATCTCTCTTGCCCTTCATTTAATGGCTTAGAATTAATTTTGAGAAAAATAAAATTGTTTTGAAAAGAAAGATTTATACAGATGAATGTCTAGAGGCAGCACAAAAAAAAAAGCTCGAGAGGATCCAAGTCCTTAAATAATCAATCATATCAATGTCATAGGAAAAACGTTGATAATAAATACATTTTAGTTTTAGTTTTTGGGATTATTATTGAAATCCGTCTAGAATTTTATTGTATTAATTCTAACTCAATTGATAACTATCTCAATATATTAAACTAGAAATGTTAGTGTCATAATTAATTTATTAAATGTTTAAATTAATATATTAGTTATCAACATCTATTAATAATTATTAATTACCATCTCGTTTTATCTATCATAATCTCACTTATTTATTATAGTGAAATTTAAATAACTAAATTATTTGTTAATTTTTTTCAATCACAAATAGATAATAAAAAATTATCAATTATTAGTCGATTAAGTAGTGATTGACGTTGAATTTGATAAAAAAAATTTATAACTATCATTAAAAGAGAGTTGAAATACTAGATGTTAGAACTTAACAGAACTAGATTTTTTTATGTGTGTGTATACATAAAAATATACAAAAGAAATTTTCAATTCATATAATAAATAATAAACTACTCATCCTAACCCACAAATAAAATCATTTTAAAAAAAGGAATTATTTTGTCTTATAATATTAATAAAATTATATTTTTATATATCTTTATTAATAAATAATAATTTCATATCTTAATAATTTTTAAAAAATTAATAAAAATATCTATTTTTTCTTAACTCGACGTTGAAAAATTGTTTAGTTAGGAAATAAGACCAATCAAAGTTGTCATGTTTTTTGAGTTTGATAAGACGAAAGTACCCTTTGGTTCTATGCATGAATGACAAATATTTTCAAGTACAACAACACTCTGTCCCACGTTATTACTCTCTTCAACTCTCTCTCTCTCTCTCTCTCTCTCTCTCTCTCTCTAACACAACCGTTTTTCTTCACCGGAAAAAAATCAACACTGCTCTTAGTCTCCGCCGATTCTTTCCCCGATCCCTCCGCCATGAGCTCCGGCGAACTCCTCCAGATACATCCTCAGGAGCTACAGTTCCCTTGTAAGCATCTTCCTTAAAAAACACAATAATTTTTTTTACGTTTCGATGCAAAATTCTAATTTCTTATAATTTTGTTCTGATTTTTTGTGTGTGTTGTGAAACAGTTGAATTGAGGAAGCAGATCTCATGTTCTTTGCAATTATCTAACAAGTCAGATAATTATGTAGCTTTCAAGGTTTTGATTTTCTTTCATTTATTTATTATTTATTATTTATTTTTTTTTATTTTAAATTATTTTGTATTTGTTTTTATTTTTATTTTTATAATTTGTGTATAATTGTAATATTTGATTTTTAGTGAAATTGATGTGTTGTTGTTGTTGCAGGTGAAGACTACAAATCCAAAGAAGTATTGTGTTAGGCCTAACAATGGAGTTGTGTTGCCTAGGTCTACTTGTGATGTTACAGGTTTTGATTCTTTCTCTTGTACATAACAAAGACATGCAAAGTGGAATAATGGTTGCTTGTTTATTTGATTGGTGAAATAATTTCAATTTGTAGTTTTTGACTTAATTTTTGCTTTTTGTTTTTTTATTATTATTTTATTTTGTCTGAAATGGATTCCCTGCATTCAAATTGTGATTTTAGAATATCAAACTGTTGAACTGTTGTAATTGATTAAGTGAAATGGATCTAAGTCAACGAAGTTGAGCAAATAAATTGTGAGTGTTTGATTTGAAGTAAGGAATATGAATTGTTGATGAATAAATCGATGGTTGATTTTGCATGTACATGATTAAAAATCATCTTGTTCGGTTCTTTTATACCTTTTATACTCGCGATTACTTATTGACTCGTTGCTTCATATTTACATCTTTGTTTTCTAGTTACAATGCAAGGCCAAAAGGAGGCACCTCCTGACATGCAATGCAAAGATAAGTTTCTCCTTCAAAGTGTAGTTGCAAGCCCAGGAGCAACGACGAAAGATATCACTCCGGAAATGGTAACCATTCTACAAATTACAAACATTTTTGTTAGATAGGAAAATGTTAGTAAATTAGTAGTTATCGTAGTTTCCAGGATTCAAACCGGGAACTTCTTCAACTTCAGACTCAACCCTAGCCTTCCTTCACCGACATTTCTGCACTTCAGTCGTTCCAAAGAAAAATCACAAGTTCCTCCCTCACCTCTATCTGCACTTCTTCGTTCTTCCCTCTACACTTCACATGTTTATAATTATTATTCATTTAATTTGCCCAAAAAATGATCAAATAGCGATCATCCTGCTATACAGTATCCCACTATTCCATTTTTTGGGTTGGCTGCTTCGCGCCGTTTTCCGGGATTGACTACCCTGCTCGGGACATGACAAACTGTTTCTTGATAGAAATTAGAGAAAAACGCTACGCATAACATGACATGACATCATTCAATTGTTTTGTTTTGTTTTCTTGTTGCATGTAGTTTAATAAAGAGTCCGGCTATGAGGTTGATGAGCGCAAATTGAGAGTTGTCTATATTGCTCCTCCGCAACCACCATCCCCAGTTCGTGAAGGATCTGATGAAGATTCGTCTCCTCGAGCATCTGTATCAGAAAATGGACATTCAAGTGCTGTGGAATTTCAGGTTTATAATAAACACTGCGTTTGCGTATATTTTCATAGAAATTTTTTAATGGTTTTATGTTAATCAATTGCTTGTGAATATGTGTATTGTAGGCTTCAAAAGCTTTCAACGAACGGGTTGAACAAAAGGATGCTTCATTTCAGGTGACATATGTCGCATATTTTCTTAGTCATTTAGAAGAATAACTCGTCATTCATCTAGTTGAATTTTCTATCTTTTCTCTTGAATAAGGTTTCTTTCTTCATTGAGTCATGTCATTTGATATTAAAAAAAATCCACCGATAAATCTTATTCATGTCTGGTATTATCGCTCTTGGAAGATGTAAACTCATGAAAATGATGCTCATTTTGAGTTTGTTATTATTTCAGGCAAGAACACTTACTTCAAAGGTGATTGAGGAGAGGAATTCTGTTGTTGAGCAAAATAAAAAGCTTCGGCAAGAACTGGTATGACATTTATTCAGTAATATTATTTTATGGAATGCTTATGCAAGTTTTATCTTGAATGTTTAGCTCTGCGGTCTTGATCGTTATCCTATGGTTCTATGATAAGTTCTCTTTTACCACTTCTTGTTTATTCAAGTGTTATTATGTTATTGAACTATTTACATGAACTGAAATTATCATCTGTTAGGATTAGAGAGTATCTTTGAATACTGTAAAGTTTATGAATAGTAGCATCTGTCGCCTTTTTTTTTTCTTTCGGAATTTACAGTTTGGGAAAGAAAAGATTATGTTAGGAATCTGTTCATGAATACCTTAAAATTTTGGTTTCAAAATTTGAAAATAATTTTGTTTTCAGATTATAATAAAAAGAAAATGCGTGAACCTATCATGTGAACTCTTGAAAAGCTTTTGTTTCAGCTGGCTTAGTTCTGTTATCAACTTATACGTAAGCGCTTATCATGGTAAGCGTTTTATCATGATAAATGCTTGTGCTATAAACTATTTAATGTAAGCTTAGCGATGTCAATGTAGTACTTGGACCCATGACCCACACTAGGTGTGTGAAGTTTGAAGTTGTATTTGAATCCCACATTGTTAAAGTTTCCTTCTTTTGGGTTGACTTTTGGGATGCGATCGAAACTCATTTAACACATCTTTTTGAAATGAATCTCTTCTTGAATCCCGATTCATTTGAATGAATTCCAGTTCACTACAAGGAATCACGACTCAATCTAATGAGTCACTATCTAAATTAGTGTAGTCAACCACTTTTTTGTCACCTTCGTAGTACCGTACCATTTTTCTCTTGTCATTTGATATTGATTTAAATCTTTAATATTTTGAGGTTCATGTGATATATGATCTTAGAATTTTGTCATGTTACTTTTATTTACCTAACAGTTACATAATCTTATTGACAATGTATGACTTTTTTTGACATAATCTTATAATTTACAATAAGATTTGATTTATGATTTGAAAATAGACTTTCCGATTTTCCGATTTGATAACCTATGGGCCCCTTGAAAAATTATTGATTGGTTGAACCTTGTCATGCGCAGGAGCTTTTGAGGCGTGCGCCCAACAGCGGTGGTATACCCTTTATGTATGTAGTTATTGTTGGCTTGGTTGGCATCATTTTGGGTTACCTATTGAAGAGAACATGACTTGTGATTTCAAGATTCAACATAATGATCAACATTGTAGAAAGCAATAAGAAGCAAAGTGTGTGATATGGAAAAACCAATTATATTGTCATGTTGTATTGTACTGTTCTTAGAAATTTGGAATGTGTGATGAGAAAATAGGCACTCTATAAGCAGTATACTAACAATCATAGATAATAGATAGATTGATGAAATCTATATCATGGGAATTGTTGTTATTTGATGTGGCACATGTCATTGTTTTTTAGCTGCTCCAAATGATTGTTGGTTGTCTCAATGCATAGTTATTGACACTAAGAAAGTGACTTTCTATTTAATAAGGAGTTATACAATTTGTTGGTGGTGACAATATTATTCTAGTGGGTTCTTTCGTTGTGCTCCAATAATTGAAGTCTTGAAGATGAAGTTGAGTCCTATATAGACATGGTTCTAAATACATAATTTTACAAAACCGCAAATGTTTAATCTCTTCAGACCTGAGATACCTTTTCATTTTAACCTTACAAACCAACTATCATTTAAAGTAGAATTTTGGTAAAAAAGAAAACATAAAAACTATGTAGCTTCCAATTCATGGAGAATTAATGTTAAAGCTATCAATGATCAATAGCTTATAGCACAAGTAAATAAAGTTGCACCATTGATCCTATCACAAATTGGTTGATTATTCTGTTAGAGAAGTTTGTTAGGACCAGTTATAAAATTTAGCAGCGTATAAATACCAACCGTAACTACCTTGTAAATTAGATTCAATGAATGTTTTTCAATTTTCTCTTTTTTTTTTCCATCGAATTCTTTATTTTTCTTCACTTTTATCATGTTGATTCAAAACTTTACGTTGGTATAAGAGTTCTTCTAAGCTCTGTTGCGCATTACTTCATCGCCTTTCCATTCATTTCTTCCACCATTGTCTGTATCTAATTTTCATGTTGTACGAAAGAGAAGGAATGAACTTTGTTTTTACCTTGAGTCTGGCTTGATTTATTCTCAAGCTCAAGATTTAAGACAAATGACAAAATTCTAGCTCGTGCACCTATAAAAACAACACTTGAAGATTGAAGGAGTTCTGAAGGTACTAGAAACACAAGAGAGTTTGAATTGGGTTTCAGGATTTAAAACTTTTTCAACCCAAGACACTCAAAGATGATACATGAACAAAAATAAATGAACATAATTATTTTTATCATAGTTCACTATTAACGAAGTTAGTCCAGTTCATTCGTCAAGGTGATTTCACCTTCTCAATAAGGACTTAATCTACTATAATCAATTGATTAAAGACACAAACAAAGACTACTCGTAAATGTTTACAAATCACAAAGACTATCCGTCATTGTCTTATTGAGAGATTCTGTCTATACCCTAATCTCTCAAGGAACAATCAACTCAAAGATTGAAATACAAAGTGTGTGTTTACAAAGATGCTTCTAAGAAAGCAGGTTACACAAGTTGAAATACAAAGATATGACATAACATTGTTAATAGCAAGTTGAATGAACAAAACTTCCTTGCTTGCAAGTTAACGAACAAAAGTTTCTTGCTTTTACAAAAATTTTACAAAAGATATTTCAATAGAGAGTTGAGCAGCGTTTAAACAATTTGTTTCAGCTAAAGTTCTTCTTTTCCAATTCTTCCAAGTCTTTCTTTTATAGAGAAAAAGAAATCTGTTGGAGGGTATGATAGGAATACTAAATTCTAGTTGTCTTCTCGCATAACGATCATTGAGAGTGGTAGATAATATCGTCTCGTACTACAGTCCTCGCGCCACAAAATCAGTGTAGTGAAAAGAGTGGTGATCTTGTCCTTGTACTATCTTCTCACACAAAACTTGTTGATCTTATCTTCTAATCTTCAGAGACTTTAAAATATGTGTTGTTTGAAGCATGTTTAGAAGGATAAAAAACCCTGTCTTTAGAGTCTTCAGAACCTGTTCACCCAAACCTTGTCTTTAGAATCTTCAGAATCCTGGTCTTCATAACTGGTGCAAGAAAGAGTAGAATTTTTAGAGCTTGAGAAGTCTCCAGAAGCTCTTTCATCAGAGTCATAGTTAGAAGCTTTAACACTAACGTTCTTCAAAACCGTTGTTTTAGAAGCATTCCAGAACTTAGACTTGATATTTGTAACACGCACTTGTATTGTAACACCATGAATTCTAGATTAATTATTTAATTAATTAATTTAGCGTGAATATAGGAGTCTTGGTGATGTATTTGATATATGTGATATTTTAGTATTTTATATGAGTAATTGTGATGTATTTGTGACGTAACTATGATGTTTTGATGATTATGATGATTATGTGATGTTTATGTGTGGTGTAGTGGGAATTAAGATGATTAGGAAGATTTTTGAATAATTTAGAAGTATTAGAATAATCAAGTAAGATTATTTTAATTAGAAAAATAGAGTAATATTGGTGTTGGTAATGATAAGGACAAGATAGTCATTTGGAAAAAATAAGTGAAGACAATAGTGAAAGACCAATATTAGGGGACCAAAGGTTATGTTTGGTATAAGGAAGGTTTGAGATTTTAGAAACTCTCATTTTGTACGATAGTTTTTGGGAGAAGAGGCAGAGGAAGAGCAAACGCTAGGGCACATAGAGGCAAGAAGGAGCATATGAGTTTTGATAGAACACGAAGAGAATTTGTTTTCTACTATAATCTAAGGTAAGAGGTATTTATCATTGTTATTATAATTGATCTAAGATCTAGATAAATGTAGGATGTGTTGGGTTTTGGTGGTTTGATGATTATGTTGTAATTAATGAATTTGTGTTGGATTTGATGAAAATACCTTGTTGATTTGTCATAAGTTTGTGTACATAATGCCCACAATATGGTATAGATATTTAATGATAATTAGATGTTGTAATTCACAAGAATTGAGACTGTTTTAGTGCAAAATGGCAAGAACTGAGACTGATTTTTAGGCAGGAAATCTCAACAGGAAAACCTTGTTCATGTACCGTCCCCGGGCGATGTTGTGTCGCTTGGGAGTCACCAGAAGAAATGTGAAGCGATGAAGGGTAGAAAGGAGGAATGCTATTGGAGTGCATCGCTCGCACCATCGCTGGGCGAAGCAGATGCGAAAGGCATGTCGCGGGGCGATGGAAGTGTGTCGCCGGGCGATGGTGACCAAAATTGAATGGCTGTTTTGGATTTTCTTAAAAGATCCATAACTTGAGTTTTAGGATTCAGATTAAGGTGTCGTTCAAAGCGTTGGATAGCTAACACAATGAGCTTCCGTTTGGTTGACTTAAATGAGGAATAAGAAGGATAATCATAACACCTAAGTTAGAATGAAGTTAGGATTCCCGTGTTGGATTATAATGATAATACCTAAGATAAGATAGAGTTAGGTTTCCACGAGATGAATTGCAACGCCGTTTCGCTTATTATGATGACATGATGATATTATGATGACGATGTGTTTGTTATTATGATATGATGATGCTGTAATGGATGATGATGCGTGTTGACTAGTCGGGGTCGTGTTTATATGTTGTAATGCATCATGCATTCATGACATATTGTAGGACTTCAGTCTAGTGACGTTTTGCATAATATTGATCTAGTGACGTATATATGACGTTATGATCCAGTGATGGCCTAAATATCATAGTGTGGATTGAGTGAGATCTTGTGAAGTGTTCTGGTTCCAAGTGGGAATCGATCCTATTAGTGGGGATCTTTAGAGATAACGATGATTGAGTCATCAATGAAGTTTTGGTACCACATGCATGAGTCTATGACATTGCATTTCATTATAAGTAACATTGCATAATGATGTGATTTAATTATGATTGTTGCTAAATGGTATTTTGATGATATGCTGTTATGTATTGATGATGTTGTGAAGGTGCGAGTATAGTATGAGGTTCCGATGATGTGTGATACCTTTCTTATGTGCATGTCTACTATATTTATTCCTTATGTAGTTTATAATGATTAGGATTTACACACCATTTCTGCTTGAATGTTGCCTCCACGTAGTTAACACACAGGTGGTCAGGTGTAGTTGTCGAAGCATTAGAGGATAGCTTCGAAGTGTGTATATTTGCTCTTCATAGAATAAAATGAGTTTTGCTTTGATATGTAACACCGGAGTTGAAATTATTTGAATCATGAATTTTATGTCCTTCATTTTGTTTATAAGATGTTGGGTTACCTTTCATGGTGCCGAGTTATTTTGAATTTTGTTTATGAATCACGAAGTATAATGAGATTTTATGAAGTATTTATAATAAGGTGTTTTGAACCAATGATTCTGATGCAAAGTTTTAAAGTATTGAATTGATGTTATTAAGGATATATTTGAGATAAATGATATTGATAACCTGTGTTACGGAGAAGAATGTTTATGATGAAGTTTTATATGAAGATGTGACATCCTTTTGTGAAATACTCTGATTAATTGTATAAATTATTTACGAATATTCCTTGGAGTTTAGAAGGGTGTTATATTAGTGGTATCAGAGCAGGTCGGTCCGTCCAGCTAGGTTATTTAGTCTGTAGTGCATAATAGTGGAATGCTTTTGAGATGATTTCTAACCATTATAACTCTTATTGATGTGAAATAGAGAAATTACTAGAAGGAATGATGCTGCGATTGTTGTTGCTTTGCAGGCTGTTGCTCAGGCTGTGCAACATCAGCCTAATGTTGGAGGGAATGTTGGATCTCGCATTTCAGAAATGTTTCAGAGGAATCATCCTCCTATTTTCAAGGGGAGGTTTGACCCAGATGGAGCACAAACTTGGCTCAAGAAGATTGATAGGATATTCCAGGTCATGGATTTTTCAAAGGCGCAGAAGATGCGGTTTGGTACACATCAACTGGCAGAAGAAACTGACGATTGGTGGGTCGGTACCCATCAAAGACTAACAGTAATAAGTGAAGTGATTACCCGGGCTGTGTTCAGCAGAGAGTTTCTAAGGAAGTAATTTCCAGAGTATGTGCGCGGGAAGAAAGAGATTGAGTTTCTAGAATTGAAACAAGGG